AACCTTTATGTGATAAACATTTTTAGGGTGACTGTCATTTTGAATATTCTGCTTTCCTTCTCTTTGAAAAATTCTTTCATCTCCAAGAATGACATGTTTCTTGTATCTCCAGCTGCTCTGAGCTGATCATGTATCCCTAGTGGTACTTCATCTCAGTTCCCATAGATACCTGCTCAGAGAGCTTTCCTCTACATCTAGCGAAAGCTGTAAATGCTTCAGTAGAAAGAAATACTGAAATAGTGCATTTCTTCTATGTTCCTTCCACCACATCTTTATTGTTTGATCATCAAACCATGCAATGTCCATCGGATGATCAGTGGGCAGAATGTACCTACCAACTGCCTCTGCCTCATCTGTGCCCTATACCTCAGTTTAATTCTGCTGGTGAGCTATAGGTACGAATGGGTGTCACATTGGACTCTGCTTTCTTCTGAGGACCACTATCAGATTTCACAGCTTCCAACAGATGTTAAGCATGCCTATTGTTTGGACTGCTGTAGCCTGCATACTAGGGTGTGTTAGAAACTGGTAATGTGCATGTGGGCACTTTGCTTATTTGTACCTGGCCATCAGAATTGGACCTATGTTTGTGTTAGGACAAAAGCCTGTTGGGCTCTTTCGAAAAATTAGGCTTTAATCGAATAGGAACAGGCCAGTCAGTACAGCTCTCCAATGTTATGATGTTGTGGCATTTCCTTTGATGGAACAAGATAAAGTCAACTCTTTTTCTCTCTATACTTCATTTAATTGCATAAAAATTTCATTCTTGCTGAAACACAAACCACTTTTAACAAATAGTGGATCAAAAAGAGTCATTATTCATATAATTAAAACAAATGGGCTTGACATGCCTTTCAGAGTCATTACACAGCCAGAATGTCAAATATTCATTAGGAAATAAAATCATCATTTGTATTGAAAAAAAATCTATCCACTAAGTTTTATAAATTGTCACAGTTAAACCCACAAAATCAAGAATCTGAAGCAATGGTGCTTTTTCAGTAATTGGTTTACTGGGGACTCGATGGAACATGGATATGTTCTTCATTGATAGGAAAGGAGTCTTTGAAATGTTTTAGTGCTGACTTCTGGTTTTACAGCAGAAGGCTAGAGAGAAGCAATGACCATGCTAAGTGTTCAGGTACTAGGCATAAAGATTTGATACTAGGATAAACTTCATTCCTGTCTCAAAAAAGACTCAGTTGGTTAGCCTTTTTATTCTAACTAAGTTTTGTAATGTGACTGTATCAGAAAATAGATTGCAGTACACTGAGTTATTAACTATGCTGAATTGAGTGATGAGGGTTGTAGTTTCACAATCTCTGCTGGGTTGGAAGGGGTGATTGTGTTAAGGCCAACTCCCGCTCCTAATTTATCCCACCATCATTTTTGTTTGCAGCTATCTGAATACCATTAGCATATTTGATATAGGTATGTGTGTGGTGGCCCCTCAGAACAAGGATGACATTTGCTCAAGGCAGGAGTCTACATTGTGGACTCTTTTAACATAGGGAGGTGGTTGTGCTATAGCTACCATGTGGCTGACCAGGAAACTTCAATTTTTACTAGCTGCCACAGGAAGCTCAGATGTTTTTCCAAATTGAAAATCAACAAGTCAATAAAATGAAATGATGGCTACTGCTTAAGCCGTTGCAAACTTTTGAATGCTTAACAGCAATTTTTTTTTCCTCGTCTTTTTCACAGGCAAGTTCCCATCCAATGCTGTTAGCCTAGGTTATTAAAATGACTTTCCCTCTGGAAATTGTAATGGGATCTGCAATCATCAGTCAAAATTTGCTTCGAGCTTTCCCATGATATGATTAAAATCAAGTTCAGTTGGGAAATCTAATGAGATATTGGGCCCAATATTCTATTCCTGTTATGAATTCAGAATACTAAGGATGCTGGAAGTCTGAAATAGGAGCAAGACTTATCGGAAGAACTTTACAGGTCAGCCAGCGAATGTGGAGAGAAACGGAATTAATGTTTAAGGTTAATGATCAATTGGAGGGTCATCAACCTGAAACATCGCGTGGAATCTTCCCAGCCCCTGAATGATGTTGGCATTGGCGAGAGTATTGGGAAAATAGGATGAGATTGATAGTGGGGTGATTCTCCACATTGAAAGTGAAATATCTTATTCTCCAAGCAAGAGTGGAACAGCAAGACAAGAATCTCATCAGTGAACAGTAGGAGGCCTATTTGTTTCAATTTGCATGCATTATGATCTCATTACTGGTTCATCTTACATCACTGAGATGCAGTTTTGCTTTTTCCCACTCACCAGATAGAAACTAGACGGTTACAATTCTCGATTATGAAAGATTATGCTGACTTCAGCTCACCACTTACCCCTCTGGCCCTCTATCTTGAAAACCAGGGACCAACATCTCAGAGCATGCTCCAGGGGTGGTGCTTATATGCATCCTTCCTGTCCATAGATGTTGGCATCAGGCACATATCAACCTTATCATTTGAAAATGGTACATCTCCACTCCACTTGCAAGGTGGCTCTGCATGTCAGTGCTCCATTTTGGTAATGCTGCTGATGGGACATGTCATGCGCAGGGACTGAAACTTATCCCATGGATTAGACTAGAGTGCATTTCAGAGTTCCTCACTTGCTGTCCTATGGCTTACTCACTTTGTGCCTTCGTGGATGTTCACACTTTTCCTTGATTTGCCTTGCCTCTTTGTGCTTTGCCCCCACAGCCAGACCTTAGGGAAGACAGAAATACTGTTAGCCTTTGACAGTCAGTCTAGGGGTTGTGCAAAGTCAGTTGATTGCTTCGGATGGTTAGGGTCAGAGGGTTTGTAACAGTACAGTGCAAGGAATCTGCTGTGGCCAGCCCTGCAGGTCCAGTGCAACCAGTCCGGGAAGTCGTGCCATGTCAGTTGGGAGCTGCACCGAGCCTGATCAAGGGTCTGGTCTGTCATCACTCGGGGTTCGCTGTACAAGACAGTCAGGGGTTGGCCATAATTGGTCTAATGGGCTTTAATCCACTGTGTTGGTAGGGGATTTGGGAACTCAATTCTGGGGATTGGTGGCAGCACCCTGCGATGCAGAGGGAGCAATAATTGTGAAAGAGGAAGACAGTGGTATATTGAATAACATGGTTTATTGCAGGAGAGAGCGTAATTGACGTTCAATGCCATGTTGGCCTCATTGGGGTGCAATGCAGTACAGTGGTTGACATGCCTAAGCTGTAGGGCCAGAGATTTAGAACTTCATCTCTCTACTCTCTGAGCCAAGTATTGTTGCCAATGTGTGAAAGCTCAGGACTGATGACCTCAACAGGGAATGCCAGGAAAAAGGGACATGAGGTATGGAGGGTGAGTGGCTCTGATTATCAGCTGAGCCTGTGACTCACTGTGCCAGCCATGACATACAATGCTTCCATATTTGTATAAGTCATAAATGTGCATTGAAAATGGAAAATGGAAAATGGAAAATGGAAAATCTGTATTCAGTGGGTATTTTCTGTTGAGCCTGTGGGCTGTACTTCTGAGTGAAGTGAGGCCATTTGAGGGGCAATTGCCTTTATCAGGCATTGGTCATAAATTTAAGATGGGCATCTCTGTGTAGCAGAAGTGGTCACGATTCATAAAGATATTCCAAAGTCTCATAAACTGCACAAGGGCATTGCTTTCACCTTGAACAGGGTGTTCACCAACATGCTCTTTTATGCAATGCTGCTTTTATTTGGTGGTGTGGGGGTGGAGGGGACATGGTTTCAGTAATCGTACAGCACTTACAATCTCCTACTGTGTTTGTGGGGCATGGCTTGTGCTACACTATCAGACTAAGGTCCCTCTGTCAAAAGCCCACATAGGGTCAAAAGCCTACATTGGGGAGGCAATGGCTGAGTGGTATTATCATTGGACTGTTAATCCAGAGACCCGGATAATGATCCGGGGACCTGCGTTCGAATCTCGCCAAGGCAGATGGTAGAATTTGAATTCAATAAATATCTGGAATTAAGAATCTAATGATGACCATGAATCCATTGTCAATTGTCAGGAAAAACCCATCTGGTTCACAAATGCCTTTTAGAGAAGGAAACTGCCATTCTTACCTGGTCTGGTCTACATGTGGTTGACTCTTAACTGCCCTCTGTGCAATTAGGGATGGGCAATAAATGCTGCCTAGCCAGCAATGCCCTCACCCTGTGAATGAATAAAGAAAAAAAAGACATTACACAGCCCTCTTTATTAGAATACTTCATCACCCATTGTATGGAGGAGGATACCAAATCATATAGGGCTGGATAACCTTACAAGGGCAACAAGGAACAGGCCACAAATGCTGGTTCAGCTTGCAATGCCCACATCCCATGAGTGAATAAAAAAGTAGGGTGGTTACTGGGAGACATGGCCAACTGTTCTGCAACCATGGCTGATACCTCTATTGCACAACCCTTGACTGAGTCTGAGTGGAAATACACTGCTGCCTGTTCTTTCAACACGGCCATTGCGGAGCAGATGATAGGTCTGTTGAAGATGAAGTCCTGATGCTTGGCTTGGTTTGAGGCAAGCCTTTAGTACAGACTGACAGAGTATGCTGCGTAATTATAGCATGCTGTGCTCTGCATAACTGGAGCAGTCAATGTTAGGATGTGATGGATTCTGAAGAGCTGGGTGTGTAGCAGTCATATTCCAAGGAGGAAGCTTGAACAAAAGGAATATCACCTTCAGCAAACAAGCATAACAAGCCAGACAGGGCTTAGTTGACATAACAACAACAGAAATCTTCAACATGACTCAATGTTAACTCTCTCTCTCTCTCCACAGATCCTGCCGAATCTGTTTTTAGAACCTAATTGGCAACTGATTCCAGTAGATGTGAGCTGGGTGCATTGATAACTTATTGACTATAAATATGTTACTGCTCAAGAAATGAGCAGTCCGTATTTGTTCCAAGAGGCCAAAGCAGCTTCTGTTTGTTAGTTCATTGCTTTTGCTATTACTGCATAAAAGTGAATGTTTTGTGTCGTTTGAAGGCTTGCCAAGATGTGATAGTCCTACATTGCTCAATGAGGAGGTGTTGGGTTACACGGGGCATTTGGGAAAGAGTAGCACCACCTTAGACATAGTTCTAAGATGTGATGTAAGTAAGGATGGGTAACTTGTGGAGTTTGTACGGTGAGAAGCATTTGTTTTTGGTTCCTCTCCAACTACGTGCATGGTGAAGGGCAACTCCAGACTGACAGCACTTGACCTGGTGCTCAAACTGAGCTTCAAAGATGGCACTGACATTGGGGATCCTAGGAAGTGCTCACTGTGGGGGTAAGGAAGCAACGACAAGTAGTGTAGAATGGGATTGTGGTCCTTATCTAATAAAGTGATTCTTAGAAAAATAGTGTGAGAAGTCTCACTAGGCTTTACAAAGAGAAACCATCCATGAAACTTGCAAAAATTGCCACTGAGCTGATTTCTGGTAAAATTTGATCTGTTAGCTCTGTTTCTCTAGACCAGTTGCTGTGTGACTTGCTGAGTTTTTCCAGCATTCTTGTTGTTCTTATTCAATTTCTGTGAGTGTGAGTAATACTTCCTTCCTGGATGGAATGGAAAATGGGCATGTGGCAATAGATCTCCTTCTCCTTTTACCGAGTTCTGGTTTCGCAAAACTTCCCAGGTGTGCAGAACAATAGCAGGAGGCTATAAAAGAACGTGGAAATGAGTGGAAGGAGTTGAATAATCCCTTCTACCTCCTTTTCCTGTGATAGCACCAGCTGGATTCCCAAAGAATCTGTTGCCAGCACTTGCATCTAGCCTCTCTTAAATCAAAAGGCCAGCAGAGGCAGATGGAAAGACTTAGGAAGCTTTAAAAAGGCAAATTAAATTTGTTTCCCACAGAGCGCCATAAGTTGCTTAGGGGCTGGAGGCCGTCTGGTTACTACTTTTAGATATCAGCCAAAAGGCCTGCAGCTGGCTGTAATTATCACTCCTGGCTCTCCACTCCACATTCTGGGCTATAGCCAAGTGCTGAGCCTTTCTTGGGGCATTTGCCACTGTGCTAATTACTTGACTCCTCTAGTTCAGATGGTCAGACACAACATACTTTGGGTGAGCTGTACCTGATCAAGTGCTCCACTACATGAGGGAGTGAAATGTCAGAGTCATATGTCAGTACTCATTTTATATGAGCAGAGTATAAAATATCAAATTCATCTGTTTTACTTAATTAAAACAATATGAATAAATTCCATTGCTATGCATTTGAACCAATGAATATAATAATGTCGGACAATTTCCAACATTGCACACTGTATAGTTTTATTCCTGTTATTTGAACTGGCATAATTGGGAGCTGCAAATAAATTGACTATATGATACAAAGTAATGGAGTGAAATGACTAATTCATTTTCTGGTAACAAAACAATTGTAGTTCAATGAGTTAGGTAACCAAGGAACTACAAATTATTACCCAATTGGAAAGGCATATGTTAATTAGGGATTGTTAGTATGGCTTTGTCAGACAGTGGTCATGCCTAACAAATGTGATCAAGTGTGTGGATGAGGGAGGTTCAGTTGATATAGCTCATATGGATTTTAGAAAAGGTTCCACATGGGAGACTGAGAAGGTTAAAGCACTTGGAATTGAAGGAAACTTGGTGAGGTAGATCAGGAATTGGCTTAGAAATAGGACACAAAGGGTACTGGTAGAAGGCTGTTTGATGGAGGCTGATGTCCAGCGGTATACCTCAAGGAGCGGTATACCTCAAGGATCAGTCGTGGGACACTTAATGTTTATTATGTACGTAAATGAAATAGATTAAAATATGGGGGGAATATTAATCAGATTTCCAGATGACACCAAGATTGGTAGATTGGTTAATAGCAAAGAAGATATTTGTAGGTTGCAGGAAGATTATAGATGGGTTGGACAGATGGGCAGACCAGTGGCAGATGGTATTTAACCCTGATAAGTGAGGTGATGCACTTTGGAAGAAGAAACAAGCTGAGGGAGTATTAAATGAATGGCAGGGCACTGGGTAGCTTAGAGGAATGGAGGGATCCTGGGATAATTATTTTCAGATCACTGAAGTTGATGGAAGACTTGATTAGGATAGTTTAAGAAGGCATATAGGATACTTGCTTTCATCAATTGTGGCATAGGGTATAGGAATAAGGAGATAACGTTGGAATTGTACAGAGCATTGGTGAGGCCACAGCTGGAGTACTGTGTGCAGTACTGGCCACCTCACTGCAGGATGGATATGATGGCAGTAGAGTGCGTGCAGAGGAGGTTTACCAAGATGTTGCCTGGGATGGAGAAATTGAGCCATGAAGAGAGACTAGAGAGGCTTAGATTGTTTTCTTTAGAGCAAAGAAGACTGAGAAGGGAAATGATTGAGGTGTATTAGATTCTGAAGGGTATGGACAAGAGTGAATGGAAAGCAGCTGTTGCCCTTGGTCGAGGGGTCAATCAGGAGAGGACATAGTTTTAGGGTAAAGGGCAGGGGATTCAGAGGGGATTTGGGAAAGAACTTTCTCACACGGCAGGTGGTGGGAATCTGGAATGCACTGCCTGGGATGGTAGTAGAGGCTAGAAACCTTTTAAAAAAAAATTGGATGAGTACTTCAAATATAATAATAATCAAGTACATGGGATGAGTGTGGGAAATTGGGATGATCACACTTTTAGTGGTAGTTATGTTGATGCAGACTTGATGGGCCAAAGGGCCTTTTACCGCACTGTATGAATCCATTTATTCTGATAAATGTCTGCAACTATAGCACTAATTTGCAGATAGTGTTGCAAATACTGTTTTTGAGCTATATTCTCAAGACAAACATAATGTGAGGAAATGTCATTCCATTTATTTAATTATTGTATATCTTTGAATGTAAAATTTTCCAAAATGTCTGCCAGGTCAGCATGAGGGGAATGATTATAAAAGTGAATCCATCCAACTAAGCTTGAGTAATTGATAGGTTTCTTGCTTATTTTAAAGCACTGCTGCAACAACACCATGGAGGCTGACATCCCATCACCAAGTCACCCTTTATTTACATGTGCACAGTACATGGACTCTGACCAGCTAGCTTAGAGTTAGTCCCTAGAGTGAGGAGAATCTCTGAGACTCCTGTTTATATATGTCAGCCAGGACTCCCTGATTGGGGTTGTTAACCTGGGCCAGTCAAGGATCTCATATTCTATGTGATCCACCTGGCCCTCGTTCCAATCACTGCAACTGCATTTGTAGCCAGGTTCAATTGTAAAAATATTGCAAAAGATGTGAAACTGGTACAGTGGATAAAGAAAATATCTGATTATGTGCAGATTGCTGTGTCTATCTTTTCAAATGCACATGCTGGATGGTGAAATGAAAAAAATGCCTCAATTGAAAATGTTCTGATGTATTTATAGTTTGCTCTTTTCCTGTGTTGATTTTGTCCTGCCTTCTGTCATCAATCACAGACAGCCATTTTCTTTATTTGTTCTTTTCCCCACCTTTTCCCTTTTAATTGCTTGAAACCAATTTAATTTCTAACTCTTCCCAGCTCTGTTGATACGTTATAGACTGGAAAGATTTATTTTCTTTCCTCACAGTTGCTGCCTGGCCTGTTAAGTTTAATCGAGCTCTTTCTGTTTTGATTGAACCTAAGTTCGAACCTGTTTTCCTACTTGCCACCTTTGATTATCAGCTTCTACCAATAGGTCAACTACCGTTCTTAAATCTCTTCTTTTGTTGTCTATCCATTACCTTTAATGGGTGCGTCTTCATGGTATAGAAACAAGTGAAATTTCCTAACCTCAGGTATATGACAGCTCTCTATATTAGATAACTAATATGAGCTAATCATATCTAATTCAGCCTGCAACATGTGAATTTGATCTGAATTATTAACCATTTGAATTGGAGCAAATAAATGATTAGATTTTCTTTTATAATCAATTATATGACTAGTTCTGTGCCAGCAGTTTATCAAACAGTGTTATTTTTGTATCTAGGATGCCACTGATGTGATCATTCCAATAAGGAATCCTCTTCAAGAACCCCTGACACTTGATGTAATGCTGAATGGAGCTGGGATTACTGGAGACACTAGCCTGGTAATTGGGCCAAAAGAAGTTATTTCATATAAAGCTAGGTACACTCCTAGTGTTGTTGGTGAAAGTCTTGGAAGGTAAGATAACAAGATTTCTACAATATGCTGAAATACAATGAGGATGTTAGTTGCTCTTCATAGAATGTAGTTTCAGGGAAGAAGACCATTTGCCATATAATTTTTATGCCAGGAGATAAAGAATTCTCCACCCAAATTTCATTCTCTTCTCTTGGTATTTAGCTTGCAGAGTGTGGCATTTTAAGTGCATCTCCAAATATTTTCTTTTAAATACAGCAAACTTTTTATTAATTGGCACCTAGGGGACCAGGACTGGTTAATCAAATATTTCAGTTGATCAAGAGGTCCACGTAATCAGTGCAAAAACACACACTAAATAATAGAAACCTAATGCAGGGGGTATATACATCACTGTTGTACTTTATTTACTAAATAAATCAATTAAAAAATAATGCAACTTTGCCTTAAATAAAACTTATGAGCAAAGAACTTTCAACTCACACCCTCACCTGACTACTTAAACATTGCAGAGACCACGATAACACAGGAAACTTTCAGGATTTCAGGTATGTAATTTTCGCCGGTTTATCAAGACTGTCGGTTATTAAGGTACTGGTTAAAGCAAAGACTACTATAAGGATTTCTTCCCCTACAACCCTTTTGGGTAATAAGTTTCAGATCCCTTTTGGTGAAAACTATCTTCTCAACTCCTACTAATACTTCTACCATTTACTCGGAATCTGCTTCCCTTATTTATTGACCTCCCTGGAAAGAGAAATAGATCCCTCCTATTTATTTAACCCAAACATCTCACCACAATCTTCTGGAGGGCAATTTGACATGGGCAGTAAATGCTAACCTAGCACTTGTTGTGATGTCCACATTCCAGAAAATAATAAAGAAAGCTTCTATGAGTCTTCTCTAGTGTGATCACACCCTTTCTAAAGCCGTGGCCAAAACTAAACACCGTACTCTGTGGTCTAACCAGTGTTTTGATACATTGCTAGCATAATCTCCTTGCTCTTACTGTTACTGCCTTGGATAACACAAGAATGCATGCCAAGTGCTTTCTTAATCACCTGATCTGTCAGTCCTGTTACCTTCATGGATCTGCCCTCCAAGGTCCTTCCACTTACCTATACTTCCCAATATCCCATCATTAATTGTCTGTACCATTGCCTGTTTCCACTGTAAAATGCATGACCTGGATTGAATTCCATTTGATACTTGCACCTTGTCTTGAGTCCACCTACTCAAATAGTCCATGGCAAGTTGTAGATTGACAGCGGTCAAATCATGAAAAAAGAGACATGAGGCAGATCTATTTGGTGTGGATTTCAAACACTGTTTTTAACCCCTCAAACAGACCAAGGCATATATATACAGAGTCATTATCATGAAGCAGTCTTTACAAATTTCAATTTGCTAAGAAAGCAGTGACAAAGCTTTGCTACCTGCTAGGATTCACCTTTGAGCTAATATCCATCACTGGATTAGACTGCCAATGATATTAAAGTCATGATATTCTTGACCTTCTGCATGGACTATGTATCCAGCTCTTACCGAGCAGCCAGTAGAGATCTTCTTAAAACAAATCAACCATCGATTTGCAAATACATCGAGCAGGTGACTTGGGCTATTTGTCGGTTTATCTGACATTTGCAGTGGCAGGACATGGAATTCAAATTAGCTGCTCCAGTCTGCTTGAAGGAGAGGAGCAACAGCAGTAGAAAGACAAAGGGAATTTTCTGGAAGCTGCAGATGGGGTGTCAGGACTGTACAAAAAGGGAGTCTCCGATATATGTCTTCAGCCTACTCTTGGGATGAATAGGACTATAGCCACTTGTTACTTATTTACTGATGATTAGTGCATATAAACATGAGGACTATATGTGCTGTCAATGACGGAGGGGGAAAGTATATGCCACCTCATAGTGACACTGACAATTTCCTTGGACTGTAGCTCCGCAGCCATACTGAACCATCTTGATTGCAACTGTAGGAAATTTGTGATGCAGGTGAAACTGCTATCTGGTCAGTTCCTGACCTAGCTCAAACCAGAGCTAGCTTGCTGTCAGTTGAATCATTAATGAGAGATGCTTCTAATTATGCTGGACACCCCAAGGAAGAGAGCTGAACTGTAATGTCTACAGCACTTATACCAGACCTCCATATATTCTGGAGGCAAAGTCTTCCATATTCTTCAATAGGCTGCCCAATGTAATAAGCTGTTGTAAATTACTCATTGTCATGAATTGGAAATGTAGAGCCATTCCTTCATTGTCACTGGATCGAAATGCTGGAACTCCCTCCCTGGAGTACTTCACCAATACATGCCACACTCATCCAGGAGGATGACTGACCTCCCCTCAATGGCAGGTAATAAAATGCTGATCTTGCCAGAGATGGTCATGACGACGATGAAATTAGCAAAAACAAATATATTCCACCTACCCAAGGCATCAGTTTATGTGCTGGTTGTTGGGAAGTTAAGCACAAGTGCCAATGTGTCTTCAGGTTGATTGCCCCATGTGCAGGGTGCATAACCTAAGCAGAACCTGGGAAGGAAAAGCAATAGTTGATGTCAGTAATCGTCAATGCAACTCCAAAAAAGGTCATGGAAATAGCCATTCACCTTCCTGCACTTGGTCTCCATGCTTGCCTTATCCAATACTATCCAATACTCTGAGTGCCAACCATTTCCATGGCAGTATTTTCCATTGGATTGAGGGCTTGATGGCACCTCACCTTCCCTTTTGGTTCTCTCACCTTTTGATGCTTGAGAGCTCGTCTTACAAGATGACTGGAACTAGATTAGAATGTGATGTTTGAAAGCTTCTAAGTATCTACGACCAAGCTTCCCATGAAGCGGTGCTGAGAAGTAGCAGCAAATTGTGAGAAGAGAGGGGGAGGTATGCAATGTAACACCTCTGGTGTGAACAAGATTTGCAATGTTCTCCAGTTGTGAGAAGATATCTGCAGAATGTTTGTTTGTGCTAATTCCAATGACACAGGTGGGTGTAAAGTGTATAGGTGTAAATAGAAGGAGCTGTGTTGCACTTGTCACATTGTGACTTAAGGAGAAACATATGCAGCAGGGAAGAAAAAGATGAAGAGTACTGTGATAGATATGTGATTTTGCCAAATTTCAGAGATGAAAATTGACAGATTGAGATTATATTTTCATTTTTCTCTTCCCTCCTCAAATTATTGGGTCTCTTTCATTACCCAGTACTCATTCAGTGATGACTGAAAATAAAAATCAGCCCAGGATTCCTTGGTGACAGCTGCAAGAATCAGCAGATCTCATCTTACCAATAAAGTGTTCACATATGTTAAACATAACAACATACCTTTATTATCACTGTCATAAATGCTTTTCTTCACTCTTCAATTATGCCAAATCTTCAGTTGAGTGTCCATCCTCAAATAACTATCGCATCAACCTCTGTACCCAATATGAGTCTTCATCGTCTGATTGAATAGGGTCAGCACAAAATAAGTACTCCCATTCCTGAATACTATAACCACAGTGAATAATAAAGCACATTAAGAATTGTGCATTATCTTATGGCAAGGAATTCAAATGACTAGTTATACTGTTTACAATTTACAGCATAGAAAGAGGCCATTTACCTCATTGAATCTTTGAAAGAGCAATCCTCCTTGGTCTCAGTCCTCAGCTTTTTCCCCTTGGCTCTGCAGTTTTTCTTTTTCTGGTGTTTATGTAAATCCGTTTTGAAGAATACTGCCAAAGTCCGTACCAGGTAGCACGGTCTAAATTCTAACAACTTGTGTAACTATGTTTCTATTATCCTGGTTGCCGCTGATTCTTTCACTCAGCGCCTTTAGAACCATAGCATTTGGCCATTAATTCTTCAGTCATTGAAAACTGTTTGTCTTTATCGAAATCCTTCATGATTGTAAACACCTCTCACCAATCTCTTGTCACCCTTCACTGTTCTTTTAAAAAAAAGGCAGTTTCACTAGTCTATTCATATACCTGTAATACATCATACCTGGAATCATAATTAATCTTGCCGTCACTTCTCCAAAGCCTTTATTTCTTTCTTAAAGGACAGCCCCCAGAATTTGTCATGTGGGCAGAATTTTAACTGGCAAAGGGAGGCAGCTTCAGGTATGGACAGTACGGCGGGGGAGTAAAATGCCATCTGTCCAGAAAATGGCATGATTCCACATGTTGGTTTTTAATGGGGCACACTTAGACGTATGTGAGAAACCACCTTGCATTTGTGGTTCTTTCATTTATTCTGAGAGGCAAGTAATTTAGACTTGAACCCAGAAAAAGACTTGAACCCTTAAGAACAAGCCCACAATTTTCCAAGCTTTTAAACTCACCAGGGTCAACAAGGCAAGAGCAGAGTTGTCATACATTGTTATGTGAAATTGACAGACTGGAGAACAATTAGATGCAGAAACTATACAGGGGCTTGCCTGCCTAGACGACACAGACAGCTGAGCTGATAGAATGTACTCAGTATGCTTTCACTACTTTATTGGTGACTTCTAACAGTTTGGAAGTCAGTTATGATACCTTGTACTTTTATTCTCATTAATCTGGACTCTCCTACTGTCATCCTTGCATCACTGCAACTTGTGATTAGTTTATGCAGCTCTGTCTTGGGTCTTTTCAGTGTTTTTGAACTCCAGCCTCCCAAGTGGCACCAAATGAGCTTCCTTGAGCATTTCTTAGCTACACCACATGGCCTATGGCTTCTTTCAAGTTGCAACTCTCTCATTTCTAAACAGCACTGAGGACCTGTTGTGAACGGCAGGGGCATAGAGCTACCAAAAGGAGCTGGGACTTCAATGAGCCCCAAGCTTCTCTAATGTGTCGACTGTGATTTAGATGAATGGAACCATTTTCTCTGATTAAAACTGACTGACCCTTTGAACTGATCTGAGTGACCCATTAGAAATCTTGTAGCACCTGTTCCTATCTAGGATCAAATCTAACTTGTACTGGAACATCTTGTGCTTTGAACGTTACAATTCTCTGGCTGACTAACTCTCCACAGTGGCCGGGTTTGGAGCGAGCGCACAAACAGAATGGATTTTATCACAAGAAGAGCGTTGCATTATCTAAAGTCTTTATGAATTCTCCAGTGACAGTAATTTGGGATATTACTTTTCCCAAGAGTTTTGGGTTGATTCGTGAAGTTTGATTACATAATCTATTCTGTTTTCAGTCTTTTTTTAAATAATGCAACGTAGTTTTAAATAAAGTCCTTGGGATAATGCAAACATTGATAATTGATATCTCAAGTTACAAGAATGTGAATAATTTCAAACAAATTTTTGAGAATCATTCCTGATTAAATATAATTAACTGAAGTGCTTATACCACTGTTTTACACAGCCTATAATTACAATCGAGACAGACTCAGTCCTGCTGAGTCACTATTGTCTGATGTTTTTACTCCAATGGGATTGACAATTTTCCAATAGTTTTCTTTTGCTATTTTAAAGAAGGATCCTATTCTCATCTTGAATAATGGTGAATTATTTACTTGGTAGGTGTGAAAACCTTTGACAAGTAACGTTAACAACACATTTTAAACTGTTAATTTTGCAGACGTTTGAAAGAAAGGACGTTTGCTTTAGAACTACTGTAACATTTTGTCCCAAAATATAAATAGCAACTTGATTGATTTGCAGTACCATTACAGAACGACAAGAACAATTGTGTCTTTACCTGTTTTGGTGTGGATCACTTTAAAAAATTCAAATAGTGATAATTAACAATTTTGTGAATTAGTCACTGTTACCTCTAGGCCAATTTGTTACAGATCCAGATGGTAAACTCCAAACTGTTAAGTTCCCAGATGAAGAGGGATGAATTGGCTCCACTTCTTTATTCACTCAGCCCCTTATTCATTTGCAACAAAGTTAATATATTATTAAATGAACTTAGCTTTTAAAACGAGCCAATTTAACCAGGCTTTCTTGAGTTAATAAAAAATGTTAATAAAAATTACTAATTGAGAGAAGAATTAATCATACTATACAAATATGCGAAGGAAGTATCAATAAGAAGTGAGTCTAAAGGATAAAATTTAAAATAAAAGATGTACAGTTTAATCTCTGAATTGTTCACGAAGAGTGGTTAGTTGAATGGTGTGTTCATTGCAGCGGGAATTACTGGTAGCATTGATGTTGGTAATTAAACAGTTGTTTTTTTGAGAGTCTTGGTTGTGTAGGCTGATTGAAGCTCCTTTCTCCTGATTCTTTTTTTAAAATCTGGTTTTCAGCCCTCAGAGTAATTAAGAGTCTTTGTCTGCAACAGGAGGGCAACGAGGGTATACTTGTTCGACTGTGATCTACACTGTATGCTAATGTTGAAACCTGGGCAGTTATATACAAGAGCATCAACTCCAGGAGAGATGAAAATGGATTTTTAACCCATGTCCTTGTGTATTCTTAAAAAAAAGTGTCACAATTTTAGACTTTACCTGCTGGGATTGGCTTGCTGCTCACCAGGGAGTCCTCAACCTCTTGTTGTCAGTGTTGTCACAAAGGAACACAGTCCAGTCTTTTTGGAGCTTTGACATTTTAGATGCTACATTCCATCAATGATCTCTTTCTCTAGACAGTCATTTACTTTACATCTACAGGCATTTTTGGCTGTATCAATCCTTTCTCAAGAGGCATGTTTTAGTGTTAAAGGCTAAAAAGGTCAACAGTACTGCGTTGTTCTAACCTGTTGTCAAAACACCATCATGAAAGGGAAAATCTGGTTACATATTATTGAAACTTCCATGACCTTATTCTTGATTAACAAGGCAAAATTTTGGGCTGAATTTGTTTGTTTAACCATCTGGTCATTAGTGTAGTGGTATCTGAGATAGTCAAAGGAGGGAATCTAAAGGAAAACTAAAGGAAACCAACAAGGCATGCATTTATTTTGCAGCATTTGCCAAGTAATGAAAAATAACTTTTATTTTTGTGAGCTTTTAAAGTATTTTGAGCTTATCTAGATGATTTAAACACTCCTTTTAGTATTAATAGTGTATATTTATGAATATGTTTACGAGTAGGTATACGAATAGTTTCAACTGTATATAGTTTTAAGACCTTTAAATTATTTTCAGTGATTTTAAAGGCCTTTTAAATTTTCTTCTAAAGTTTGGAAATTTTAGCTTTGGTCTTCAGAATCAGTGCAGCCTTTGTTAGGCCTTTTCCTGTCCCTCTGATTTGGTGAAAATGATCAGAAAGTCTCCTTCTGGAATACCAACTGTTACATTCAATTCTCAGTCTACAGATCCACATTGGTGCTCTTAAGACTGCTCGAGAAGGCTACATGTTCCTCACAAAGCAATACTGCATTGCACCAGATTTCAGCACACCGTCTCAGTCACTGCCACTAGCTGGCACCTTCTGATGGAGCATTACTTCAATATTGATTCACCAAGAAGCTGTGAAGTGGCTGATGTGAGCTTAATCCTGTAAGCTTTCTCATTGGGGGAGGTGGGGACTCAGTCGCCCCTGAACACACCCATTGCACCACATTTGCTGCATGGCCTTAATTTTTAAGGTCTGTGTGTATGAATTTTAGATTTTCATAACCTCACACATGACATTTTAGCACATTTAAAACAGTTTACACAATCCTGAACTTCTAACTGTACTATAATTTCCTGCATTTAATTATCAACCTTTTCCATTAGAAGGACTTTTGTTGCTAGTGCATTGAGTCTCCTACTAGTTTTCTTGATTAAAAGTATTTAAAATGTCTATATATTAGCAACTGTTGAAATAGACAGGCAACCCAGAAGGAAAAGCAAGTAAAATCTTAAATGACACCTACTGGTCTGAGATAGCAAGAACTGCAGATGCTGGAGTCAGAGACAACACAGTATGGATTTTCTGAAAATCTGAAGAAGGGTCCCAACCTGAAACGTCAACTTTCCTGCTCCTCTGATGCTGCCTGGCCTGCTGTGTTCCTCCAGCTCCATACTGTGTTGTCGTATACTGGTCTGCCTTGTTTGTACACACTAGAACATTGCTCCAGTCTGTCCAATATGTTCATTTCCAGGTATTACTGTTTTAATTCCCCTTGAAAATTCATGTATATTGTATTGTCTTCATAAGAATCAATGAAATAAAGTTGGGCATTATTAGCAAAAGATGCAAGTGATGTCATGAAGATCAGAACCTTGATTGGTTTTAATTTAAATGTTAAGGAGCGAAAAAATAAATTTCCTGTCTGTTCTTATTTGCAGTGTTACCTTCTACTCAGATCTCATTGGAGAGTTTTGGTATGAACTAAACCTCATTGCAAAGAAGCCAATGCCAGTTTCCCTTCCAGAATTGCGGTGTGAGCTGGGAAAGTAAGTATCCCACAATGTAACAAATAATTTCAAAGTAAACGTACCTGCTAACACCATAAGTATCTTACATAAAACTTTCTGAAGATTTCTTATTGTTGCTTTTAAGACCATAAGAAACAGGAACAGGAGCAGACAATTTGGCCCCTTGAGTCGGCTCTACCATACAGTAGAAACATGGCTGATCTGACATTCTTCATTCGATTTGATTTATTATTGTCACGTGCACCGCGATGCAGTGAAATGTATTGTTTTGCATGTAGTCCAGACACTTTTCTGCGTTTTCCCTGTAACCCTTGATTCCCCTATTGATCAAGAATCTATCTCAGCCTTAAATAATCACAAGAACTCTGCCCCCTTCTCCCACAGCTTCCTGTAGCAAAGAGTTTCAAAGATACTCAACCCTCTGAGAGAAGCAATTCCTCCTCATCTCAGACTTAAATTGGAACACCTTTATTCTGAGACTACACCCTCTGGTCCAAAACTCTTCCATGAGGGGAAACATCCTCCTCTCGGCATTTACCCTGTCAAGCCCCTTAAGAATCCGATATGTTTCAGTGAGATCACCTCTCATTCTTCTAAACTCCACTGAGTAGAGTCCCAGAGATAGTAGGAACTGCAGATGCTGGAGAATCTGAGATAACAAGGTGTAGAGCTGGATGAACACATCAGGCCAAGCAGCATCAGAGGAGCAGGAAGGCTGACGTTTTGGGCCTAGACCCTTCTTC